AGCTAATGTAAATTTTATTATAATTACTTTTTAATTCTAATTATTATTTTACTGTAATAACTATTTTATTTTTAATATAAGATATTAAAGATAATAAAAAAATTTTTATTCATTTAATTATTATTTACCAAATATAATTAAAAATAAACATAATCAGAATCCCGAAGTGTCAGTGATATACTTATACTTGGTCCACTCAATTTCGATTGTGAGAGAGTTTTTATGCCATCTGGACGGCAACTTAAAGAGTTACTATGGCGCGAAATTCAAATTTTAAAAAGCGGTAAACTATTAAAACACCACTTTAAATAATATTCTTTCATTAATTAAATCCAATTCTTGAAATTAGTTATTCTTTTAAAGTAAATAGAAAATAGCAAATAAGAGATTAAAAATAATAAAAAAAAAAAAATTGTAAATAAGTATTTAACAGAAAACAATTAACAAATCTATCAAGATCGCATTTTTTTAAAATTTTCAATTTCATCCACTTTCTCTTTTTTTTTTCTTTTTTTCATTTTGTGCAAAAATCTTTTCATAAAATAAAGCACAAATCTTCGTCTAAATAAGTGAGAAGATAAAGTCGCGATATCAAAGCAAAAGCGTCCAATTAAAAATGAAAATCGATAGAAAGAAAAAAATTGACATTTATGAAATCAAAATAAAAGTATCATCAAATAAAAGGAGGCTTTTAGATATAGAAGGAAACTGTCAATCAAATTTCGAAAAAAAAATTGTTTCCTATCCCGAAAGAAGAAGAGGAAAAAAAATGTCTGTAAAAGAATTTTTGATAAGCTATTAGGATATAAGAAATATATTGCATCCACGTTTTAGTTCATTATTTATGACTATAAAGTTAGTGAATCGAAAAAGAGTTACGGGGACAGAATGTTCATTAATCTTAAGGAGAAGAAGAAGAAGAAGAAGCAAAAGCTCTATATATATGGACTTTTGACTTTCTGTATTTTTTCGTTCGTGCCATCAATATATATATATGTTTAGTCTGGTGGTGGGAAAAGGACACAAGTATGTTGGAGTTTGATCCTGAGGGATGCTGGTTGCCATGGTTACGAAACCATCGCTTGTTGCGTATCTGAAACCTGCAAGCTCCAGTAGCGTGAAAGCTCCTACCCACCACCTTATAGGCGTGCTTTTATATAAACCAAACGAATATATACGTTTGCTTTGATTTCTTGAAAAATTCATGTGTGTACTCACATTTGCACGTTCATGCTGAAAAAATTTCTTGATTTCAGTCCATTTTTGAGGCTTAATTTAAGGTGTGAACGAACTCAGCCTAGCTAGGCAAAGACAGACTTGGACATTAAAAGGAAAATCTTATTTTCAGGCAGAAGGGAAGTCTTAAATCAAGATTTTGGCAGGCAGTGCTGAATTTAAGACTGGTCTTAAATTTTGATTTTATTTTTATGGATTTTCTGTATCCTTTTAAACGGATAAATAAGCTAAAAGATTTTTTTTTATCTTTTGGGACTGACAAATAACCTAAAAGTCATTCAACAGTATTTTTACTGAAAGTCAGTAAAAATTTGAACTAATGTAAATAAATAGTATATAAGTTCAATTAGTTAAAAAAAATTCAATGAAATTCATTTGAAGAATTCAATTATTTTCATAAATAATAAATTTCATCGCTGAAATTCAATTAGTTTTAATACAATTTTTAAAAAATTCTAAATATTTGAATTATTCTTTTAAATTTTCATAAAATATTTTAGAGAAATTCAATTGTTTCAAATAATAAAATCTTTTGAAAGAATTCAATTATTTTTACAAATAATAATGTTTTTCACAGGAGTCAAATTATTTTAAAAAAATTCAATGAAATTCATTTGAAGAATTCAATTATTTTCATAAATAATAAATTTCATCGCTGGAATTCAATTAGTTTTAATACAATTTTTAAAAAATTCTAAATATTTGAATTATTCTTTTAAATTTTCATAAAATAATTTAGAGAAATTCAATTGTTTCAAATAATAAAATCTTTCGAAAGAATTCAATTATTTTTACAAATAATAATATTTTTCACAGAAGTTAAATTATTTAAAAGAAATTCAATGAAATTCGTTAGAAGAATTCAATTATTTTCATAAATAACAAAAAAATCATCGCTGGAATTCAATTATTTTAAAAACAATTTTAAAAAAAATTCTAATTTAATTATATTTAACATAATTTGAATAATGATTTTAAATAATTGAATTATTCTTCTAAATTTTCATAATTGATTAAAAAAATTCATTTATTTAAAAAAAATTCAATGAAATTCGTTGGAAAAATTCAATTATTTTGACAAATATTAGTATTTTTTACAGGAATTCAATTATTTAAGAAACTTAATTGAATTCATTGGAAGAATTCAATTATTTAAGAAACTTAATTGAATTCATTGGAAGAATTCAATTATTTTCATAAATAATAAAATTCATCACAGGAATTCAATTATATTTAACATAATTTAAATAATTAATTCTAAATAATTGAATTATTCTTCTAAAGTTTCATAAAATAATTTTAAAAAATTCAATTATTTAAAAAAATGAAATGCAATTCGTTGGAAAAGTTCAATTATTTTTACAAATATTAAAATGTTTCACAGGAGTTTAATTATTTAAAAGAAATTCAATGAAATTCGTTAGAAGAATTTAATTATTTTCATAAATAATAAAATTCATCGCTGAAATTCAATTGTTTTTAAAACAATTTTTAAAAAATCCTAATTAAATTATATTTGACATAATTAACATAAATGATTCTAAGTAATTGAATTATTCTTCTAAATTTTCATTACTGATTAAAAAAAATTTAATGACATTCGTTGGAAGAATTCGATTATCTTGACAGATATAATAACGTTTTTCACAGGAATTCAATTATTTAAAAAAATTTAATGAAATTTGTTGGAAAAATTCAATTATATTCATAAATAATAAAATTTAATTCCAATTTTTGTTCAAAACACTAAAAAAATTCAATTTTGAAAAACTACAAATAATTGCAGAAATTCAATTATTTTCAAGAGTTATAAAATTCTTTTCATAAAATTCAATTATCTTTCAAATTAAAAAAAAATTCTTGTCAAAATCCCAATTATCTTTATAAATAACAAAATTCTTTCCCAAAGTTTAATTATTTTCAAATCAATTTCAAATTCCCAAAAATAGTACGCAAACATTTAATTATTTTCATAAATAATACAAATTTCTCAGGAATTCAATGATTTACAAAATTTTTATAAATTCTTTCGCAATAATTCAATTATTTTTATAAATAATAAAATTTTTTCAATTATTTTCATAAAAAATAATTAAAAATTGTAGAAAATAATAATTGATTTAAAATGATGAAAATAATTTTGAAAAAGTTACTGTAATAATATTCTTATAATATAAACCAATTATTTTATCACTCAGTGATTCTTAATTAATATAAAACATGAAGAAATCGATCACTCCGAGTCTTCGACTTGGAGCAATCGCTGTCTTCATGTTTTATAAAAATATTCTTATAAGTTATTGAATTTAAAAAAATTTGAATTTGAATGTTTTGAAAAATTTTAATTCCTACGGAAAATAATATTTAAATATTTATTTAAAAAAAACTTATTGATGTTATTGAATAATTTTACAATTAAAGAAATTCGTCAATAAATGCAACAGAACATTTTTTTGAGTAAAATTTTTTCCTTTATTTTCTAAAAATTTAAAAAGTTTCAATTTCATTTTCAATTATAATTTGTAATTGACAAATATAGAATAGAATATGTAATGTTTCTTTTCCAAAAGAAAAGAATGAGTTTCTGAACAATTTTGTTATTGAGAAATATAAATTATGCATAAAATGGATTTTTATTTTCTATTTCTAAATAATAATTTTTCAACAATTAACAATTTTCTATTTTTTATAAATAAAAAGGAGAAAAATTTGCATTACTTAGATCAGTCAAACGAAATTTGTTATAGAAAAAAGCATATAATAAACAAAATTAATTTGTTAATCATAATTTTTTTATTTTCTCATTTCAAATATTGTTTTTATTATAAATTATGAAAAAGTACCTGCATTTTTTCGATCAGTCAAACAATATTTTTTAAAGAAAAAAAAAAACAAAAGAAAGCATACACAAAAACTAACTTCAAAGTGTGGACAGACAGAATGAAAGAATGAAATACGAACATTATTATAGTTAATTAATTATAATTAATTATTATAATAATAAATAATTATTAATTATTATAATAATAAATAAGATAATAATTACTAATGTTATCTGAGAGTCCAACGTTCACTGATAACTTCTTAAAAGTATCAAATTGCAACGAATTGATACCAAAAGTGTAGATCAAATCAAAAACCGTTCCAAAATTTTGTTATCAATTTGATTCACTGTGGAATCAATTTAATACGTTTGGAAAAACTGTGTTTGTCTCGTTCAAAAGTCAGTGAATATTAAAAAAAAAAAAAAATTGACAGGGTAGAGAAAAGTAAAAAAAGTCTCTATCAAAATAAAAACGAAGCTATTAAAAAACAGTCAAATTTTTTAGTCGCGAAGATAAGTCAATTCTAATTTTGAAAATCAGTCCATTTCCCCTCTACTTAATTTCTCATCTCAAATTCAGACAATTTTTTCAACTAAAAGTTGAAAATTTTTTAAAATTTTTCTTTTTCCCCAAAAAAAAAAAATTTTTTTTCACTTTACAACCTATTCTTGAATAGCAAAATTGTGTAATTTCGTGAAAGACAAATTGTCATATGGCAATTACAATAATGAATATACGCAAATTATCGAAAATTGAGGGGTTGAAAATGAGCGATTTTCCCCAATTTTAACGGGGACAAAGAACAAATTTTCTACATGTGTATATGTGTGGCTCTTTGTGTTTGTGTGTGTGTGTGGAGTCCTCGATTTCGCGCGACTCTTGTGTTTCAAGCTCCGATTGGAAGATGGGCACGGCCATGACGACTATAGGTCTCTACTCTCGCGTTGCTCCACGCCACAAGTGTTCGTGGCGTGCGAGCGCGAGGATCTTCTCGTTTTCAAAAATAGCGACCGGCGCGAGGAAAACGAAAATTTTCTTTTTTTTTTCCTTCCCATTTTTCAGCGTGCCAATAATCGGTGTAGTTTTATAAAACCTTTTTTTTCCTTTTTTTCTTGTGTATGTGCTTCACTTTAAAAAACAAAAGAAAGTTATCAATTCGTGACAAAGAGGATAAAAATTTCCCACCGACAATTAGAGTTCAAAAAAAAAAAAAAAAAAAAAAAAATAGAGAAAGAAAGAAATACAATAAATAAAAAGGAAGGAAAAGTAAATTGTTTCCGTCCCGGGAAAATTGACATATCCAAGTGGGTTGAAGAGAGTGCGCGCATGTCGGAGCCCAAGGGATAAATAAGGCTCTAGTCGGTATGAATCTTGAGGATATAATTATGTTCTTTGATTGGATTAAGTCTACAATTGTGATGATGATGATGCATTCGAAGCAGATGAGATATGGATAAATGAAAAGTTGAAAAAAAGAATTTTTTGTGAATTTCTACCAAAATTCAACACGTGGGATTTGTTTATTGTTATATAAACTCAATTGTCTTGAATATTCGCGATATTAGAAAAATCAGTGTTTTTTTGTGAATATATCATTTGTTGCGATGAATTTTTCATCGAGTGCCGGGGTGGGATTTAAATTTTTGCCAAATAATGGTCATTTTTTAAACAGAATTTTTTTTCCTCTAAATTTCTTATCTATTTACATAATTATTTACTTAAATATTTATTTATTTATTTAATTAAAGATTTACTTAATTATTTACTTATTTGTTTATACACTCGTCTTAAAGTCTTTTTTATACGATTTTTACAAGTGTTCCGAAGAAATTGAAATCGAATTGTAAAAATTAAATATAATTAAATACAACTAAATTCAGTATTAGTAAAAATAATTGAATAGAAAAGAATTAAACATAATTAAACCTAATTAAACTAACTATAATAATAAAAAATAAAAAAAAACATTAAATTGTTATTAAATGACAAATGAATAATATTTTTCCCTTTTCTTTCAATTTTTGTTAAAATTTACAATTTTAATAAATTAAAATAATTTCCGTTTTTATATAATTGTCGTTAATCTCTGTAATAAACAATAAACAAAATAATAATAAATATTAATAATTTAATAAACAAAAAATGAATTAAATAATTAAAATAATTAAAATAAATAGAAAATACAAAATAAGTAATTAAAGTAATGACAAATGATTCATATTTTTTCTTTCGTTTTAATTTTTCTTAAACTTTACAATTTTTTTAAAGTCATGACAAATGATTCATATTTTTTCTTTCGTTTTAATTTTTCTTAAACTTTACAATTTTTTTAAAGTCATGACAAATGATTCATATTTTTTCTTTTGTTTTTAATTTTTGTTACAATTTTAATAATAAATATAAAAATTCCCTTTTTGTTTTCATTTGTCGTTAAACTCTATAATTTGATAAATAAAAAATAAAATAAATAATAAGTAAGAAAAATAATAAAAATAAATAGAAATGCAATAAAGAAAAAAACCAATAAAATTGTTATTAAATGAAAAATAATTCATCTTTTTCCCTTTTGTTTTAATTTTTGTTGAACTTTATAGTTTTAATAAATAAAAAAGTAAAATAAAATGAATAATAAAACGATAAATAAAATAAATAGAAAGTAAAATAAAATAAATAAATAGAAAATAAAGAAAGTAATAAAAAATAATAAAATTGAAAATAATAATTCAAAATTAATTCAAAATAATAAAATTCAAAATTAATTGAAATTGAAAATAAAATTGACATTAAAATTAAAAATCGAATTAAAATTTAAAAAAGAATGTAATCGATGAATTTTATAAAAAATATTTAATTAAAGAAAAATTGTCACCTTCGAGTAATAAATTTCGTAACACAGTGAAAACAAGTTATCACTTTCGAACATTAATCAACTCTTATCAAGATCAAAAACGTTGTATGATGTCAAGAGCGGATAAAAAAATTTTTTCCTTTTTTTGTGCAAAATTCTATGCACATTTGTTTAGTAAAAGAGTTCTTTTTAAACAACGTTATCTTAAAATGAAAATATACGTTATCTCATAGAGTTAAAATAAAAATTCAAATACTAAATATACAAAATTATCATTAAGCAGTCGTTTCTATAAAACAAACATACAAAAAAATACAATTTTGCAGTCAAAATAAACAAAAACGAATTAATAGTTAATTACATAAATTTATAATTTTAGTATAATTTAAATTCGATTTGCCTTTAAATAAAATTTATATAATTCAACATTTAATTTAAAATAACAAAATTAAGAAAGAAATTAACAAAACATAATATATAAAAATTAAAAACTGAAAATAAATTGATATATTTCAGAAAAATTATAATATTAAAATAAAAATAGGAAAGGAAATTAAAAAGTAACTATACATTAAACTCTTAACTGAGAACTATTCCAAATTACAAATTAAAAAAAGGAATTAAAAAATAAATAGAAAACTAAACAAAAGAATTAAATTTTTTTTTAATAACAAATAAAACAGTATATTCAAAATTTCTGTACAGAAATTAAAAATATGAACAAAGGCAAAATTTTGATATTTGAAACTTAAAATAAATATATAATGGAAAGATTTACATTACAAAGGAATATTAAATTTCTTTTTCAGTAACACATGAAAAAAATTCATAAAATAAAAATGTATCGATTTTATTTCAATTAAAATAAAAATATAAAAAATAAAATAAAAATATAGAATTAAAAGTGGAATAAAAAAATAGAACAAAAAGTAAAATAAAAAAAGTGAAATAAAATGAAATAGAATGAAATAAAATTCAAAAAATAAAATGAATATTAAACTAAAAATGAAAATGAAACAAAGTGGAATATCATAATAAAATAAAATGAAAAGTAAAAGAAAAAAATCGTGTTTTTTTATATGGAAAAAATCATAGTTAAAAAAAATCCCCTCGTTATCATTAAATTAAGTAAAGGACAATCCTCTTCACACATGATATATATATATATATACATATACAAAGTGACAATTCAGTGAATAAAGAATAGATAGTGAAAATTGTTTTGTGTTTAATGAATACCAACGCGGTGCCCATAGAGAAAGCAATAAAGCATTTGATTATGAGTTAATTGAAATCGAGAACAATTCTTTTTGTAGAAAAAATATTTTCCCATTTTTCGTATTATTTCCTAGTAAAATTTAAATCGAATTATCATTCTATTATAAAATTCTATTCTATTATCAAATTATCAAATTCTATTATCTATTCGTTTGTATACGTACCACTACTAGTGGAACTACTAGTATAATAGTATTTTTCACTACTGGAATTTTTACTTATTATCTTCTTCAATTACTGGTATTTTTAATCACTTGTATTTTTAACTACTTGAATTTTTAACTACTTGAATTTTTAACTACTTGAATTTTTAACTACTAGTATTTTTCACTACTGGTACTTTTAACTGTTGGCATTTTCTGCTACCTGGTATTTTAAACTATAGGTATTTTTAATTAATGGTATTTTTGACTATTGATATTTTTAACTACTGGTATTTTGAACTATTGGTATTTTTAACTACTTAGCATTTTTACCTACTTACCATTTTTAACTACAGGTATTTTTAATTATTAGTATTTTTAGTTATTTTTAGTTTTTAGTATTTTTAGTTAACTAGTAGTTAAAAAAATAATATTACTAACGAGTTTTATTCAATAGTTTTTAATAATGTACTTAAAGTATTTTTTCTTTTTGTTAAAAGTCAGTTTTTAGATCTTAATATAATTCTTGTTTTGAAGTTACTAATAAATAAATAATTTTAGTAAATTCGTAAACATGTTTACTAATTTAAATTTCGAGAGCAATAAAAAATAAAGTAAACAAATAATACAATCAATAATAAATTAATTAAACAATAAAATAAAAAATGAATAATAAAATAAATAATGAACAATAAAATAAATAGTGAATAATAAAATAAATAATGAACAATAAAATAAATAGTGAATAATAAAATAAATAATAAACAATAAAATAAATAGTGAATAATAAAATAAATAATAAACAATAAAATAAATAGCGAATAATAAAATAAATAATAAATAAAAACTCAAGAAAAATGATAATATGTAAAAATAAATATATTCATACGTAAAACGTTAGAATCTGATGAAAACATTTGTCCTCGCAAAGAAAACGTTAATATAAAGAAATTTTTTTTTTTTTTGCCAGAAAAATTTATTCATTTTTAACGGCACTCTTACAATCTATTGTCATTCACCCCAGTGTGTGTAAGAAAAAAAAAAGTTCCCTCTTATAAGCACTAGCAAAAGTCCCTAAGTGAAGTAACAAATGGAAAAGGGAGAAAATTAAATTATCAGGTAATTTTAGGCGGCTTAGAGAAGAGGGGGCATAGTATATCTCTATAGGGGTGTGTGATGTCTAGTTTCTTTCTTTCTTTTTTTTTGTCTATCGTATCCCCTTTAATATCCGCTTTTCTCGACGACGTACCAGGGAATAGTTGTGTGCAATAATTGCGCGCGGTCCAACTCTTGAAAAGCAATACCAACGGGAATGAAAAGAAAGGAAAACAAGAAAATTCACAAAGGATGAGAAAAACTTCTTGACTATTTTTATTTTTTTTTTTTTTTTTTGTTGTTGTCATGACACAGAAAAAAAAAGTTTCGTCATTCGACATTAGGGAAAAAAATGGGCTCACGCGGTGAACTATAGATGAAAGCTTTTTTCCACTCAAAAACGGGAGAGTAAAAGCGACCTATTTACTAATCGTTAATCCTTTGGAACTGGTGCAAGCACTAGTTCTAGTCGATGATATGTCAGATATTGCGCTTTTTTTTTTTTTTTTTTTTTTTTGGTCAATACACTTGTCGAGAGTTTGCAATAGTAGCGACTACAAGTGACTATTATTATCATGAGCTATCGGTACAATAAGATTTTACGATTTTGCAACCGAGACAATATTAGATTTGTCTAATCATGTAACGGGAGTCACGGGTTTACTATTATTAAACGTGCACTGACAATAATATTATCAATCATACACGGTACGCTTGGTTCATTAACCAAATGATGAATTACTGGGACAAAATTTTCTTTTAAATTTAAAAAAATTTTAACAACAAAGTGAAAAAAAATAAAAAAAAACTTAGTTATTAATTATTATATAATTTTAATACTCGAATTAATTAAATAATTAGTTATTATTACTGAAACGCGGTATTCAATTTGCTATTATTTGTTAAATTATTATTAATCCACTTATTCTATCCACTAACTAATTAATTATTAATATTATTTATTACTTTTTCAAAAATTTTATTGAAACTCTCCGAAA